TTTGAACCATGTACAACATTAATGTAAATATTTTGGATACAATGAGTGAACAAAATTTAAAATATAAGGTTAAGTATACATATGTTCGGATATCTTTGGATATCCATTCGGGTTTGGATATCCAATCTCTCCTAACTCAATGCCCATTAGAATATTTTGCTAGTTCGATTCGAATTTTGGTTTGGGTTTTTGGGTCGGATTCGGGTAAGGATTCGGGTATCGGATAAAATGCTCACCCCTAACTAATAATGATCTTGAATATGAAGGTTGTGAGGTCCATAGTGATTCTCGTGACAAAGTTGATAGACTTAGCTCGGTCGCGTGATTTGTCTCGAGACGGTGGCTGTCCCGGGTTAATCTTTAATGCAGCCACCAGTTCTATCTATTTATATTCTGATTTTGCTTTTATTGAAATTTGTTCTTGATTGTCTGAAAGGCATATAATTTTGATTTGAATCATCTAGAGTTACTAACTTTGGTTTATTCAAATTTTTGATTATTATCCTGTTACATTCTGATGTGTACATTTTGTTGTTATGATCATTGGTGGGTGTTATTGTTCTGTTACATTTATTTTTAACTGTTTTCATTTAAAGAAAATTGCTATTTATATTTCCAAAACATAAATTAAGTTTTATGTCCGGTTAGCATCTTAAAATCTAATTATTACCGCAATCACAAAGAAGTGAATTTTGTAACTTTGTTCAGCATTTCTTTGGTCAGGTCCGGAACTCAAACTACAGGAGCTAAAGTTGTTTGGAATGTGGTATGCACGGATAAGGAGGAGGGAGGACTTGGCATGCGATCGCTGAAAGAGGTGAATAAGGTGTACAGCTTAAAGCTAATCTGGAGAATGCTTACTGAAAATTCATCATGGGGTTAATGGATTAAGCAAAACCTGACAAAGAAAATAACCTTTTGGGAGCTGAGTAATAAGAGCCAACAAGGCTCATGGATGTGGAAAAAGATTTTAAAGCTATGGAGCATTGCAAAAACTTTTCATAAAAGGGCAGTTGGTAATGGGAAGAACATCTCCTTCTGGTTCGATAACTGGTCTGAGAAGGGAGTACTATCAGACTTATTGGGAGAGAGAGGTATCATTGATCTAGGTATCAGAAGAGAAGCCACGGTTGAAGAGGCTATGCTAAACCAAAGAAGAAGGAGAAGGCACAGAACCACAATTCTTACAGAAATTGAGGAGGAAATAGACAAGATAAGAGAAAATAAATAGAGAAGTTAATGGAGAGGACCTGTATCTTTGGCGATGCAGAACGGGATTCAAAAATCAGTTCTCTACTAAAGAAACTTGGTATTTACTTAGTGAGGTGAAGCCGCTGTGTGTGTCGACCAAGGGGGTCTGGTTTAAAAAAAGCAACTCCAAAGTTCTCGTTTATTGTTTGGATCGCGATGTTGGACAGGTTAACTACCATGCGCATAATGTCTAAGTGGAGCACTGGAGTTGATGAGACTTGTGTGCTATGCAAAAATGCAGCCGAGACCCGAGATCATTTATTTTTTAAATGCTCTTTCTCCTCACAGATTTGGAAGGAAATTTCTCATGGGATCCTACAAGGCTCCTATACGACAACTTGGAGTGCACTTCAGAAGATTGTTTCTGACCAGAGGCTGGGGGTGAAAAAGGTCTACTGTATCAGATATGCATTTCAGTGCGCCATTCATGTCATATGGAGAGAACGAAACAAGAGGAGGCATGGGAAGATCCAACTATGTCGAGAGTCCTTGCGAAGTTTATTGATAAAAGTATAAGGAAAAAGTTGAGCTTAGTAACTGCCTTGGGAGGAAAGTTTGCGGGTATTCTAGGTTATTGGTTTGGAAGTCGAGACATGAGATAGAAAGTAGGAGATTGTTTTTTTTTTGCAATGAAGCACTTGATGTAAAACAGTTTTTTGGTGAATATAATTTAACATTCATTCAAAAAAAGAATTTTGTAACTTTTGAACACAAGTGTTGGATAATAATTAAAACCGAATAACATCCCCTATACATTATTTGAAAAGTGATTTGGCACATATCAGAATTTCACTCAAAAAAAGATAGCATGACAATCTAGAATTGATGACAAGGCTGATGGATAAATATGAGAAGACCATTATATTTAATATTAATTTATATTTTTGATAAACTTTTTAGAATATAAAAATAAATAATACATCATGATTAAAATAAATATATCTAAATATGATATTAAATAATATAATAATAGAACTAAAATAATTTAGAAATTTTGAAGTATTATTCAAATCTATTTATATAATTTTTATTTCTAAAAAATATTTCTAAATATTATACAATTTTTAAAATATTTATACCCGTCTAATCGTAACATATTTGTTTCCTTTTGATATCTACAAATTTTGGAAATTATATTTAGTTTTATTTTTTGATAATTATAAAAATGTTATATCAATTTTCTTAAAAGAGTATACAAATTGATTTAATATATCGCAAAGGAAAGAATTAATTGACAATCTATCTAAGCTTACATTTTTTATGTACAAATATATATACTTGTTTCTTAAATATAATTTAAAATAAATCCAAATGTTTATTTTAGCTTTGGTTTTTGTTTAACTAAATTAATTTTTTTATTAAATATTAGTATGAAAATAATCAAATTGATAATATTAACAGAATTTTATTATTAAATATGAATTCTATTTAAAAATTTACTGGTAAATATGTGCAAGAAAAACCTAGTTATATGTAGATAATCCAAAGAACAAAAGTGCTGTAAAATATATTTGTTTATACTTTCTCTCATTTCTTATAATTTTTTTTCTAAATGAAAACTTTTCAATCTAATGCATATTATTTACAGAAGAAAAACTCCATGATTTTCTTATAAGACACATTCATTCATAACATGGAAACTACATAGTAGGTTTTAAACATCATGAGTGCAGATCCGTATATTGGCCTGCAGCGGATGTGGATATAAATCCAAACAGCAACTCACGATGGATTGACCCGTGCGATCCATAAATAAGTTGAACCCGCTACGTATTGGATTATTTGGTCGCAGATTTGTCCATCTGACATCTCTATATACCATCAACATGATCGCTCTCTATACCTTGATAGTTGACTATGAAATGACTTTTTCAATGTGTCTTTGTAAAGCTCTAACATTTCTATAACGTGTCTCGCTTTATAAGTTAATCGCACTTGTCTCATAGTTTTTAAAGATCTTGAGAAAATCTCCATCTACCAAATCCCTTGAAGGGTTGAAGTAGAGATTATCATCAGGTTCCAATGTTGCCAGGGTATTTCCAATCCAACTTTATTTTTTATTCTAAAATAGAGGAAAATGAATTATAGAAAAAAATACTATAATCCAATTTTATTTCTTCCTCCATAATACAATTTGCTCTATAAATGAAGTAATCTATTTTTTTGTTGTTCATTACTCCATTATGGAGAAGAGTTGAAACATTTTTGTTATATATTTTATTTTATTTTCGAGAAAAATAAAATTTTACATTGGACATGTTTCTAAAGAATTAGTTTTTTTCATTATTTTCCTCATGATATCTTCTGACAGAGAAAAGTATATACAGTTGAACTTCTATAAATTAATATTCGATAAATTAATATACATTAAATATCTCTATAAAATAATATAATTTTATAGTCACAAATTGAGTTTTTGTTTTAATTAGTATATCGATAAATTAATATCTCTCTAAGTTAATAAAAAAATATAATTTTAGTGTAGTCCAACATTATTAATTTATAGCGGTTTCACTATAAATTAATAATGTTGGACTACAGCAACAGTGAAACCGCTATAAATTAATAATGTTGAACTACACCAATTTTTTGTTTATTAATTTAGAAAGATATTAATTTATCGATAGACTAATCTAACCAAAAATTCAATTTGATACTATAAAGTTATATTATTTTATAGATATATTTAGTATATATTAATTTATCGAATATTTTTATAAAGGTTGTATTTGTATGAAAAATTGAAGAACCAGAAACCCTAAATTAACCTGGGCCAATCGTGGGCTTCAGGATCCAAGTCAGGCAGAATTTTTCTTCCTTCTTAGATATTTTTTCTTCATTTCAACTTCGTTCAAACGCAATCCATGCGCAATCAGATTAACTAGATATTCATTGCTGACGTGGAACTCTTAATCGTCACACGATCTATCTTTTCTTATCTCCTTCTCATTCTCCCTCCAGTTAACAGAAACGTTACGAAAAAATCAGAACACTTCCATCACAATCTCAATTCTCAACCACAAACCCAAACCTCACAACCTTTTTTTTCTTCCTTTCTCCGGTAAACACAAGAAAGAAGAACAATCTCGATCGTCTCTCTCCCGGAAGGAAGAAAACAAACATGTGTAGTAAGATGGCGTTTACTCTAACAATCCCTCGATTTCACTCTCCTATTTCTCGCAAACCCACCACCACCACTTGTTCTTCTCCTTCGAGGACACAGTCTGCTAACTTCAGCCAAGGACGATCCATTTCTCTCAGACGAAGACTCTTCTTATTACCCATAAAAGCCAGTACCGATCAGTCAGGTCTTTGATTAGTTTGCCGTCTTAATAAAGTTTCAATCTTTTTGGACACGTTACTTCCAATTCTCGAAGAGTACCCTCTTACAGTGTTGCATGTCACCATCTACAGGACTAGGCTTTCGTTTGGGAACAACTTTGCTGTGAAAAAAAGTTTTGATTTTCATTATTGCTAGTTTTTAATTGAAAACTCTTTGCCAAATTTTTTTTTCTTTTTGACTTTTATATTACAGAACATAACTGATTTCCTGTTTGTAGGTTTTATTTTTTTTGATGTTCTAATCATAAAGCGTTCTTGTTTTTTTTTTTTTTTTTTGAACAATCTTTAGTTTTAACTTTTAACT